GTGAATTTCGGAGCGATAAATTTCGAAAAAATCGACGTGACCAATGGGAATTGGAATTGGCTTGCACGAATTTTATTTTATTCCAGCATTAAATAGGTATTATCGAGTTGTATTGCGTTTGGATAGTAATGGGAAAAATGATACATTTAAAATTTTAAATAATAGTACGATGAGAATTTCAGGCAAAATATCCATCAACATTTTATCTAGATACCGTAATAAAAAAATCACGAGAACCCTAAATTATTATCATGAATGGTTTATCTTGTAGATTTATTAGCATACGCAGGAAGTAAATAGAAAGTAGATCAAAATGTTTTATTTTAGATAAAAAGTTACTTCATTGTTAAAGAAATTGTTAAAGGATAAACGAATGACAATTTCTGTGAGTATATTTCAAGAGAAGATTATCTCGGATGATTCTCCGAATCGTTAGAATAACATAGGATTAGTTGGTAGTTTGCATAATGCATTTCGACTAATTAAAATGCAGCTGCAGGTTTCGCAATTTTTGCATAATCGATATTCGTAATATAGAATTTATATGGGTTAATCCGGCGACGTGAGCGTTGCGTAATTACTTAATATCAAAGTGGTTGGTGATTTTTTCTTTCTGCACGTTTACGAGCGCTTTCTCTCAAAAGCCAGAAAAAGTTGTAATTTTTTACGCCGGGCCCGTTAAAAATTCGATTAACTCCTGCAGCTCGTTTCAGAAGAAATTAATAAAGACTTCTGCACCTTTAATTACAGGGCGCGCAAGAGCCGGAATTTAAAATCGATTTTACTCGGTGTTGTTATCGCTTTTTCGGAAACGGAAAGTTGCTTCTTCGAGGGATAAATATCGACGGTGCAATAAATCGAAGATTTTATTGTTATTGCCGGTAAAAACCCGAAAAACAATACTTTCCCTTTCGCTGTAATTGGATCACTTTATGGGGGGATAACTATCTGATTTATTACCCCCAAAAATTCACTTTCACTACAAATAATCTCTTCGAATTTCGAAATTATTCAGAGAAAATTTGGTAGAAATATATCGAGTACCTAAACATTTAGTTTCTACATTTTAATTGTATCTAATAAACAATCTAAATGGAATCAAAGCGTAAACTCATTAAAAAAACCTTGGGAAAATATTATTTCATTAACGAACGAATCCGTCGAGTTACTCAATGGCAAAAATGCTTTATTGTTATACTTTTTTTTGTGCTCAAATATGCAAGACAATAGACAAGCCTGCATCCACATAATACAAGGGAATAATTACGCCAGTTTTATAAATAGCTACGCCCAATTTGAGTGCCTTCGTACACTTCTCGGCAAGGTTATTGTCTAATAGATCGCATTCCGAAACTAAAAAAAATATATTTCGCAATAAAAAACAACGACTTATCGACCCTACCTCGTATAGTACTACCTTTATCGAGGTAATAAGCGGTAAAGCAAATTTGTTTGATCAAACACAGGCAGTGGATTGGGTTTATTAAAAATATCCTTCCAGCTACCCTTGGTGCTTTATAATAATAAGATGGATTAAAAGTAGAGTTACTTGGTTTTACTCCTAACGGGTTTTCGTATCAGTTATCAATAAATATTCAGCGGATTGTGTTATAAGGTACAAATTAGCCTGGATATTCAAAGAACCGTGCTTATCGTTATCAAGCGGCGAGTAAACGCGAAATGCGCTGTTATTTCTCTACCTGTTCGCCAACAAAACGATTAAAAATACCCACTTGAGCGTTATTTTTTATTATAATTTATGATCGAAACTATTTTTCTTTTCAGAATTTAGCGGACGATATTAAACTAACCGAGAATGTTAATTATCGCTCGAAAGTATAAAGAATCTCGCACAATCGACCATAAACCATTACCATATCGCATAACCGTACGAATGTATGTAGAATGCTGTTAGTCCCACCCAACCGCGCGGTCATTACTATCAACGTTATTATGTCAAAATAAATTAAGATAATTAAGCAATTACCGTAGCAAATGCATCATTTGCATATCTCGGTAATGATTTATTAAAAAAGTCGAATTTTGCACTGTTCATACTTCTCCGGATTCCTGCTAGATTTGTGTGAATTTTATACTCGATTTTTTGTCTAATAAAACGGGCTTCTTTCACACCCACCCGGTATGCTGGTACGATTTAACCCACGACCTCGAAGTTGGTCGTCCATGGGTCGGCGAGCAGACAACAATGAATTCAGAATGCGCCGATCTATTTTTATGGCGATAAGCGAACGAATGTATACGGAGAATATGCACCGTGGAAAACGCCGGTGCACTCGAGGGGGTTCCCATGGAACTTCCCTTCCTGCCTTTTTCCGCCCAATTTCACGGCGCGTGAGAAACCGATGGAAGATGAAGACGAAGGCGCTCAACCTTGAGTTTGAGTTTTTGATCCGTAACTGCCCGGATTTCGGTGTACGCATGTAACTGAACTATCGATCTCGAATCATTCTTCGCTGTGATCGAAGGAAACGTCGATACACCCGGAGTCAACGGTCTCCCGAAGGACAGTGATGTTAGGTGAAAGTGGTAACACAAACGGCACGTTCGAATAACCTACACTGGTGATATTTAATAACCCAGGTGTTAATAACGAATTTAACTAATTTTTTACAGAGGGTAGAGGTTTTTTCTCTTCTCATTAAACGCTCGTTAACGTTAATTTATAATTTCTCTTTTAACCGGCAATTACGCGCTATCGATCCGCAGGACTGCGAGCAGATAAATCTCGAATAAGCGAAATGGATATGCCCGAACAATGCACTTCCTGCATTTCGCTAGCTTCAGGAAGAAAATAAACGTCGACGAATTCGATACTCTGACTATTCGAACACTTGGGAATCAGGTATTATCGAGGGCAACATAATAATATAGTAAAAACACTAAAGCTTAGACGAATAGTTCTTATTGTACAAATTCACCCTACATTTATATTATCTCTTGTGAGTTGTTCTAATTAGTTTCCCATCATTACCATACAATGCTTCGTTTCTGAAAATCCCCGAGCCTCGTAATTATGTAAACCCCCGAAGCGTTAATCGGCCATCGAATAGAGAGGGAAACGGTAAATAAACGAGTTGATAATAAAAAAAAAATAAAAGTCGAAAGAATAAGAAGTTGCCATTCGTGTTGCACAGCACCGAAGCTGCTATCAGACTTAATATTTATGGCTTATAGGCCCGGAGAATCTCGACATTTCGTGTGATATATTTACCGAGGAAATGTTCCCATTAAACCGCCTTTAGGGTGTACCATTGGCGTACAAACCCGTTGTATTTTCGCGGTAGAAATCCCGCTACTTATCGTTCGTTTGTATATAGCGACCTGGCACAAACTGCAAGAGTAACAATGTCGTTGTAAATAAATTCTCGATAGCACACTATTAGGAACGTATGTAAATATTTTACGGATTTAGACCACCTACGGGTTCGGTATAAAATAGTAACTACTAAAACATGCGCTTTCACAGGTGATATACGGCTGTCATTCCGCTGGTAAGGTTCGCATAAATGAGTCGACTCGGAACACGTAAGGTTTTCTTTTATTTTTCCATTCAACAAAAAAAATACTATATACTCGAGTGGTGAATGAAAGCGACTTGATCGTGATACATTGCTTTCGAGGATACTTTGTGACAAATTGTACATTATATATTGATGATATTGGAATATTTTACTAAACTAGATCCACATCGCGGCGGTACCGACCCTGTGCAAGTAGCCAATATCAGTTTTTCCATCAATTTTTCCGATAACCACGCGCTCGTATAAGGCAACAGGTAACGGTAACGGCCTCAAAAAAAAAATCCCCCGGTCTTCCGTTTAACTGCTTCGCCTCGCGCGGCACACATGTCGCAACCGGGCGATGATATTTCCTCGGCGTCTAACTCCTTTCGTTTCTTTCCATAACTAACTCCTTGTACGGCCGCTCCGCTATGATTTAAATCGCCGGGAGCGGCCCGAATTCGCTCGCCGATTCTCCGATCATTATGCCGTTGTCAACTTTGACGCGTTTCTATTTAGCGAATTGATTTAACGTCGGCCGTAAACGGTGTGTATGCAGCAATGCAATAACGTTACTAATACGTTTTGTCAATCTTGTATATTAACTCGTAACGGAGTGATGGATTCGCAGAGAATAAAAGAGGGATTAGAGAGTGTATTATGTAAGCGAAAAATTGATTGAAAATCCCTATAGGACTCTTTAAACAACCGATTTTTTTTTCGGTCATCGTCCAGTCGATAAATAATGTGTTTTTTTATTAGTGCCTGCACGACGACAATTATTTATTCATAGTATAAATCGCTAGCCCAAAGCTATTCAACCGGCAAACCGGCCGGTACGCCAAACCAGTACTGCCTAGCGCTCGAGCGGCGCGAGGTTGGGGACCTTATAAAATTCGCGAAGGCCTCTTTCGATCGGGCTGCGCTGCCCAAAGTCGCAGCGATTGCACTTTTTTATTCGATTAATTTCGACCAGAGTATATATCCGATTCCTCTGACGATGCTAATGAAATTTTCGAGAGGAAAAGTGACCGCGCGATATCTGGGAAAGGAGGCGTATAATTGTGTCATACCGGGCGTTCGGTTATTTCTAGGTCAATTGCGATACATGCACCGGCATGTGAGTCACGTTTTTCATTGCGCTCGGCGCGTTTGTAATATGTATCGCGAAGCGTGCGCCTCGCGGTAATTAGAATGCGTTTTCCTCGCACCCCGGCCGCTTAAATGGGGCAAAAATAAATCCTGTTTGCCGCGATAAGTTTATAGATACATTTTAAAATTGCTGGATCGCTATTCCCGACGAGCTAATTAGCAACGATACAGGGAGAGAGATGAAATAATGTTATAGAAATAGAATGTATTTCGATTCAAATCGTTTTCCGTTGCGCCATTCGTTCTATCCACAACGGCTGGTTGTGATAGAAGAAGGAAATTTATGGTCGCATTAACTGAAATAATGAACATTTTATTTTGTTACAGTTGGATGATGCGGCACTTCAGCTGTACAAAGACGGCGACTATGGATCTTACCTTGACCTCGAAGCGTCCATTAGCGAACAACAGGAGGAGTTCGAGGGTTTCCAATCGAAGTGAGTACCATAGAATTGTAGTAGTAATTATAATTGTATATATTACGGGCCCTCTTTGGGTCTTGTTGTATCGGGGAAACCTCGTTGAGCTCAAATATTTTTCTCCACTTTTTAATCAAAATGCAATAAAATTGATCAAATGAAGTGGATATGTAACACACGGAGCAATAAGTGGTATTATTAGAACATCTTTTACATTACAATCACTCGTTACTTGAGTGTATATTTAGTTGCCTATATGAAGTAATAAGAAATAAACATTTCCATTTGTTACCTATAGGTACTTATTAAATTTTACTTATTAATATTATAGGTACTTATTTACTTATTAAATTTTTAAACAGTTTTTATAATTACAATATATTAATCAAAAATGTTATGATTCATTTTATTGTGCATTATTTATGTTAAAATTTTATTTCAATAGAAATAACTTATTGACAATGTTTAAGGTTGAGTCATTGATGCTCTAAAATTCAAATATTTACTTTACTAACTCATCGGGAATTCTCTTGGATGTGTGACAAAATTTGGGGAAACTCAACACAAAATAATACAATATTGTACGAGTGTACGAGCTTCATATTTATTTTTAATGACCTTCAGCTGCAGTCCAGTTGTAGTTGTAAATTTATTTGAAAAATTTGGTGGAAATTAAAAATTCGCGCTTTGATGATTTGGCATGAAAATGCGTTATTTTGCAAAATTCTGCACGGCCTGACTCAAAGCTAGCTTGGCAATCCGCGTGAAAAATCGAATTTATTTTCGACCTGCATATCTAGATTTTCCGCTTTTTTCGAATTAGTTCGCTGCGCTCGGTCCTCGTTAAATGTGCCACGAAAAAATTTTCCGAAAAGTGTCATCGCAATGGGGTATTTGATTGGAGGCTGTTTCGCTCCCCAAATGAGGTAGGAATAGTTTTTTCCTAAAATTTATTCAATTTTCCACTTTTCTTCAATTCCATACCAGCTGTTGATTTAACTATAAGCAATTGAAGATAGATGTACTTGGAAAATAGCGATTTTTTGCGATAAAAAGCAGAGAAAGTTACGAAACATCGCGTAGGAGAAAAAAGGCGCAAAACGCAATTAATTCGCGAAAAAAAAATCGGTTTTCGAATAGAAATTCGATCTGTCGCGGTATTAATCTCCGTAACCTACACTTGTGTAACATATGGTTACGGTACAGTTGGATTCTGTTCGTTCGACAGAATATTTACGACGTAATGTTATTGTTATTCATTGGATTTTGAATTATGAAATTGCACAGTTAGGTGTTGAATGTGTTTCGTTTTATGGTGATATTATGGACGAATGTAAATTAGAATTAATTTTGCGAAAAAATCGCCGGATATTTTCTCTTTTTTTTACAAAACTGTAAATAGTTTCTAATCACTCGTTCGATTCCGAGTACAATTTTTGGCGAATACATAAAGCGCATACACCAAAATTCAAACTTCAAGTACTACACAATTTTTGGCGTATGCGCAGTTACATCCGCCATAATTTTAAAAATCTACAACAAGACAAATTTCCTTCGATAATCCCTCGTTTACTAGTAAAAGAAATTTCGTTTGCATTATTCGACCTAATTCTCCAATTAAATTTATCAAATAAATCCGTCCGAATGCGGAGGAGTCTGCTTGACCTCGCGGGCAGTCTCTGCATGATCGTCCGAAATTTCGTATCATTCTGATTCATGTGAATCAGGTTACGGCTCTCGAACGCCGCTTGAACTCGACAAGAATCGTCTCGACCGCCTATTAGCCCGAACAACGGATTTATGCAATGGATGTATGCATCGAAATAAGGCGAATTTCGACCCGAACATAATCAATCCGATTCGAACGCTAATCCATTCCGCTTAGAAATCCGCCGCGATCCGCATTCCACCGTCGGCGCGTAAAAGCGAGATTTTCTTCGATATCGGAAATATTTTTCGAGAATTTTTACAATTCGAAATATTTCGAAGGTGGCTCCAGCTCGCGAATGTGGGTCTCCTATATGTGCCACCTATGCACCGGCCGAACCACTGGTCAGTGATGCTGCGTTGCCGGATCATCCGAGCAATCCCATTCCTCAGGAAACCTCTACATTTACCCAGCCAATTAATCTCACACAACCGATAAATATAACAAAACTATAACTATGCACCTATTCGAAAAACTATTATCATTTCGAAGTGAGGCGAGTTAAGGCGTCCCACTACAGCCGTTTCTCGGCAACGCTGTATCGTAAATTGGAGTTTCGATCGTTCATCGAGTGTTGCAGATTCTCGGTACTGGGTAGTACTGTATCTTTGTACGCGAGCGACCGTTCACTTCCTCTTCGGAGACGTCGGTTTCGGTGGTTTTAATGGACTCGGATTGGCGGGCGTCGCGACGGCCCTTCGAGTGGTAATTTAGTGCATTTGTGATTATCGGAGATTTCTCGTTGGTGATGGAGTGATAAGAGGATATTTTTTCGGTTTGTTGATTGAGTTAATTGTTGGTAAATTTGAGCCAGGTTTCGAGAATTTTGGGAAGAAAATATTACTATAATTCTACAAAATGAATAAATAAGATTAACTATAGATTGATGACATTTTTTGTATTAAATAATTTCGCAATTGGAGCAGGAAAACGTCCACTTTCACGTTTTGCGTGATGGAAATTAATCTGATTCCTTTTGCACGGTAAAATTGGAATACATTACGGTATTGTGATGTTGTAATGGAAAATAATAACGTGAAGAGTACGTTGAAATAATCCGTAATTGGAATATGTGCACTTTTTTTTTTCACGAACTTCCGTTAGTTTTGCAATAGACTGCGTATAATCATGAAAATCTTTACCTACTTTTGCGATGTTTTATGTCTTAACAATGGATTATTCGTTTTTACTTCTTTATTAATTATTACACTGTTTAGTGTGCGAATGTTTTTCTAATTTTTTTTAGTATACATAATTGGCCTTAAAAGAGTGTTAAGGAACGTATGAGTTGATCTCGTACACATCTTAAGTAAATATTTGCCACTTCCTAATATGCAAAGAGATACAAAGTGTTAAATGTTTTACACTCATTATAAATGCAAACACTTCCACCAGAAAATCGTTAAAATTAATTATAGACTCCTCATTCTTGCATAGCAACTCAATTTATCCGATAATTTTTGAAATAAATCTAAACAAAATACATCATTTTACATTTCAATTATTGCTATACTACTCTAGATATTTCTAAAGGATCATTCTCGTGATTTGACTCAGTACTTGTTCCTTAATCCAAGATCCTTGATTCTTTAAACTTGATTATTGATCATTGATTTGTTTTCTAATTTGTTTTCTTGTAATTTCTAAATAAAACTGTACTTTTTTTATTCTTCTAATTGACTGTATACATACACCAGTTACTAATCGAAACTTCATTTCGTTTTATTTATACTGTTCGCGAGCTCCAGCCCAGATTTTTCAATTCGACGGTTCAGATCCACTATTATCCTGTCAATTTTTGAATAGCAAAACATAAATCATCGGTAATTGGTGCCCGTACGTCGGCCTAATTGACTTACATCACTTCCCCGGCAATTTCGACGGACCTACATGCACCGTAAAATGCGCTTCGGTTGTTGTTATTTATTTGTTACACAGAGATTTTCGCACGTTTTTATAAATACTAAATACAATTTCGTTAATTAACATAGTCGCCGATTCCATTTTTTCCGTCCGCACGAATTTCTCTTTCGAAATCGTGGCTAATGAAGCGCACAAAAGTATATGTAAATGTGGAAGAGAGGTCCCGATTCGCGAAATTGCGCAACTCGCGTGGGAGGAATGATAATTGCTAAGTAATTTCGGAATATGGTAGCATATGGTGCTTTCCCTGAATTAATTTTCTACCGATATATTTGCGTAAAATCGCGCGTTTAAAAGATTCGTTCTTCGGGAGGATTTTGGTATAATTCCATTGCGATTCTTCGCTTTCAAATTCCATCGCCTCTACAGCAGATTTTCATTTCATGTATCTTTTTAAATTATGGCACATTATAATGTATGCGGCCGTTAAACCACTCGGAATTTCTCACACCGTTGATTACGGAGAATCTCGTCGTCTAGCTTTCTGCGCCGGTTACGATCCTTACCTTTTTTTTCCTCCTATCCCCCAACGTATAGACGCCCGTTTAGGTGACAAAATATGGGTTGGGCGCATAATTGCATTTTTAATGTCTTCAACAGCATCTTCTACCATCTCTTCCGTCTGCGGCTTGTATACAAGCGCTCTCATTGATTATTCTCTACCAGCTACAGGGCGGTCCAAACGCACTACAAACCTCCTACTCACCGCAAACCAAGTTTAATTTACTTTATCCATCGCAACATCGAATCCCTATTAGGCTAATAAAATAGCGGATATATAGAAAAATCTTCGTATTGCCGGATAGGATCGGTTGGGATTTGGGTCGAGTAAAGGTTCGGGTGAATTGCGACCGCCCTGTATGATCGAACGGAGACCGGCGGCTGGTTCTGGCGCGGTCACTGGGTTACCTATGCCTTCTGGCTCTTCTTATTCTTCATCGGATCGAGTGTGATACGCATACAATTCGAAATGTACTACGTACACGTCAAACAGGTGTTATAATGAATTCTTCTCGTTGTTTATGTACGGCTCGTATTCCCATGACGCTTGCGTGTGTATAAAGTTTTTTTTTTGATTTCGTATCGTCCGTTTTCGGCAGGTTGTGCTTATTTGATATTAACATCGGTTATAATAGTGTAGATTGTAGGTACTTTGAAAGCGCATTGGGAATTGGTACAACGACATTTTCTGCAGGTGGAATTCGGCGGGTTATGCAAATAAAACCCATCCACAGTCGATTAATTTTAATTGATCGTCTAATGTATTTACGCGAAAATGTCTACTACTAGTAAAACCGGAATGCGAAATGTAAACCAGCCACGTTGAATTAAAATCAATCGTTACACACAGCTAGACGAGTAAAAAATTATTACAACCCATATTTTTTCTTCGTAACTTCTTTAATTTTATGCTGGGTATCTCAATTTTAATTTTTTAATTGAGAATTCAAGTGTGAAATGAGCTTCGTAAATCATTCGTGGCGCCTCGAGATAGTTATATAACAATTAGAAAATTTGAGCACTTCCTAATAAAAAGTACTTGCATGTATGTATGCGGAAGAAAAACGAGTCGAATTCTATTTATTGTAGTATTATAAATTTGTCAGTTTTTAATCGAACGCTTATTTTACTTTCACGTATATGTTTGGTACAGTATATCATTGTGAAAAAATCCGTTGAATATTATAATGATCTATTGCAACAATGGCTCGGACGAAATAACTAGGTTTCGACTATGAATGGGTGAAAGAAATTTCTAAAATTTATTATGTTAAAGAACGCGGAGGAATGTCGTCCTGCATATATCGATAAAAATTATATTTATGCATGTTTTTCACTGCCCTAGCGATTTTAAATTCCACGACTTTCCTTATTCAGATTCCAAATTAATTTGTTGTTGGTTGTTATTTCGAAAATTTGCCTTCGTGAGATCTCTAATTTTGTAAAAAAAAATCAATTTCATTCTTGATTATTGCACCTACAGTGCGACAAGAATAGCTGGAGACAAAACGTGAACTGAATTCTACAGTTTATTTCAACACTTTACAGTTCCAGTACCATTTCCGATAATACAGCAATCGAAAAAAGTCGGTAAATGATGCAATTATCTCCGTAATAAGTGCTCATATATAGAATGGGTTTAATCGCGGCGTTTCCAACAAAAATCGACGCCAATTGTCGAGAAAGCGGGACGGGTTATTTCTTTTTTTTCGTACATGTGCATTACAAATTCCTCAAATACAGTAGCCGAAGAAGTACAGAAGAAGAGAGCACGTTATTTTAATCGGCTTGTTACATACGTTTTTTTTTGCGTACTTCCACATTTTCATGTAGTATTTCAATTAGTTTCGCTTTCACCTTGCCTCAGTTATTAATGGGGAATAACAAAAAAAAGTCACGTCGATTTCTTTCGTTTTACACATTAGAATTTTTTTCGACGACATTCTTTCCTAATGACTTATTAACTATTCTTTTAACCAGTAATTAACGAATGTATTTGTTGTTGTCGTGATCGACTCATTATACCTAATTTATCATAAAACACGAGGCGTATATACTTATTAGAAATCTTCTCAAAATTCGACTAAACCGGCTCGAGTTCGTTAAAAGTAAAAAATCGAACGCCACGACATTCCCTCAGCTGTCGACCGCATTCAAAATGGACCAACACGAATCGCCCGACGGCTGCTACAAGAGCGACAGCGCCGATCTGCTCTCCCAATGGCTGCGGGCGCTCGAGACGCGCTCGTCCACGTTCTGGCTGCGCTATCTGGGCGCCGGCTTCAACGAGCACGACGCCGACGCGCCGGAGAAGCGCTCCAACTCGCTCGGCTCCACCGACAGCAGCCTCAGCGACGCCGAGCCCGACCTGCTCGACAGCGAAGAGGATCTCTGCGGACTGAGCGAGGGGTTCCCCGAGTGCCGGAGCATCGCGCACCGGGAGTCCGATCTGCTGGTCGCCTTGTCCGAGAACTGCACCCTCGGACCCGTCTGCTATTTTTGCAGGTAACACCTGGAGCACTCCAAATAAGCAGGGAATTTTTTCATGTCGCTATATAGAGTGTAAATAGTTTCTTTTGTGACATTTGGATATTCAATTGGTAAAAAAAATGTACTGTTATAAGCTCGATTGCGTAGTTTAATGGGCGATGATATAGTGTAGTTTTTGTTTCATTCAAATTACAACACAATTAGCAGACGGGCAATAAATAATTATTAATAGAACGGGCGTTCGATGTGAATTGAGACGTTTTACCGGAAGAGATGAATGGTCCGCCCGGGGCTCGAATTCTATTAATTTTCCCAATGCTATCCTAAAATAAAAGGCTCATTAGTTTCATCTGCATAACACCACCAATTGTAACCGATCGATTCCGAGTAGGTTACTAGAACAGCGCGAAAATGACACACGATATTTTCGAGGGCACCGCCGTGCTTTCTGCCCGAAAGACAATGATCTCGGTAAATCATGCACGTATAATTACTATTCCTCGGCTACACAAAAGCCCGCGTTTTTTTTTCTTCTTCTTTTACAAACGACGATAACGCACAAGCGACTAATATTTATCGCATCGCCGTTCTCACGGTCTCTTCGACTTCCCGCAAAAGGAGCACCATTGTGATAGTCGATTTTGCATTCGAATCGGGGCTGTGAAATTGGAGGAAAAAAAGGCGAAACGGGCGCGGTCGGGTCTCGAAAGGTCGCGAACTCGCTTACTTCGGCGAGTAAAAGCCCGAGATAAAGCTCCGCTAGGTGGTATCTATTGGAATTAATTTACGAAGTGAAGCATCGCAAAAACCGGCAGCTTCGTTGATGTGTTCCGCGTGTTCGGTCAATTTCCTCTTCTGTTTACTATCGGTATTGTTTATTTATTTACGTGTACATATACGCCTGTCGAAAAAAATCGTTTCCGAATTCAGAAACTTTCTCCCTGCTTCCTTATTTATCGTCGACGTAAAAGGAATGCGATTTAGACCTATTAGATTGTTTGCTGAATAATGAATATTAAATGCAACAGGAAGTAGCTATATTCCTAATTACATTTCAGCATCTTCAGCTATTTCAATCGAAGTGTAACCGGCGCTCGCCCATTCTATCGCGGGGAATTGCGATTATGGGAAGTGTCACGGCGATTTAAATAGACCTCTCTGTCGACATGTGGGCGGGTAAACTAATAAGACTCTGCTCGAGAAGTCGATGTAGGTGATCCACTTCACCTGTGGGTCGTGATCGTTCGTTATTAATTCGCCATGATTTTCTATACTCGCTTTATTCGAAGGCGTGTTCCCGAGAAACTGGCCGTTTCGCGTTGCCAGTAAATTTTGCTAATTACTTTATTAAATTCGTTTCGTTTTGTTTCAGCAAGAAAAATTCCATTGTTTTGAGGACACAACTGTCGGTTCGAGTGCACACGATAATCGGTAAGATATATATTTTTTTGATTTATCGCTTACAGTGCGTTAGGTATAACTGGAGACGTGACGTGCGCGACAATTATTGCGCATTACGGTTCATTAGCTGAGCTTATAGTCTCGTAATTTCTGGTAAATAGAGCAGGGTTATTATCAGTGGAAGGCATCGAGTAGCTATTAAATTTAAATTCTCCGTGCATTGTTTAAAATTCGATACCTTTTAGATTGTTTAATCTCATGTAAACAATTATGTAAGACAATAATGGGAGTGCCCGTAATGTTCCTTAATGTGGAGCGTTGACTTCGTTAAGATGCAACTGCCGGACTCATATTAATATCGAAGGTTATTTGCCGGTAATGTCACAAGTGTAATTACCGGTAATACCTAATGATGCATTATTAGGGAATAATTATTTGAAACGTGGTATTTTTTTGACCGGATTTTATTGCCCAATTACCCGGAAAGAGAAATTTTAATGTTTTTTAGCACCGAAATTCGAGACTCTCGACGGGTACCGTTTGAACTTCGCCTTCGATCATTAGAAAACCTTACATTAATTCGCCCGGTGTGTAATTTGAAGTTCGAATATATCGAGAATCGACAATTCCCAATTATTTGCTCGTCGCACTGGCAATTCCCTCGTTTAATATCGACTTCCAACCGAACGTGACCGGACGTTTTTGCTTTTTCGTACGCCGAATAATTCGAAACTTTCGCTTTTCTTTTTCGTGAGACATAAACGGTACGTTATTCGACCCACGACAATTCGTTAGAGAATTATTATGTTTATAAATCCGCTTTTTACCCGCAGCTATATGGCCTCAACGAACTCCCAATAGGTGATAATGATCGTTGTTGTTTGTTTGTAGTGTCATATTCCTCCAGAAGATTTATAAAAATCAATCGCAGGCAAAATTGATAGTTCATAGTAAGAGTAAAGATTTTTCCGTATAGAATCAAATACAACATTGTAGTGTCAAGGAGTTATTAAGTTCGCGCATCTCACGACTCTAGCTATTCCTTTCGATCTGTACCTAATTGTAGAGCGAACATTGTTATTTTTCCGTGGTGCATAACGTATAGAGGAATGCATTTAGATGGGTATCAGGTGAGAGTTTCGTCGATGCGACGACAACGCCCGTCTATTTTTATTCAATAAAAGTAAATAGGAAAACGTGCTCGTTATTTCGAGAAAATTATAGGTTCGCTCGATCGATGGTAAAAAAAAACTTAAAATTTCAGTTGCATTTTATCATTGGTCGTCATCGCACGAAGGGAAAACTATGCCGAGGAATACGTAATTATTATGTGTATGCGCTTACACGATTCGCTTTTAATCGTTACTTAACTTTTCGACTGGAATACGAATCGAAATCTACCGCCGGAGGCGTTAAAACGTCGCGACTTTTCTCTTTATTAACTTCATCGTTTCTATTGTCGCAGAAAAACTGCTAACATCCGAGGGCCGGGAGCTCCGACGCGCGCTCTTCTCCCTCAAGCAAATCTTCCAAGAGGACAAGGACCTGGTGCACGAGTTCGTCCAAAACGACGGTCTATCATGCCTGATCAAAGTCGGCTCGGAGGCCGATCAGAACTACCAAAACTACATACTGAGAGCCTTGGGCCAGGTGATGCTCTACGTCGACGGCATGAACGGCGTCATGGAGCACAACCCCACCGTCCAATGGCTCTACAGCCTGATATCCTCCAAGTTCCGCCTGGTGGTGAAGACGGCCCTGAAACTCCTCCTCGTCTTCGTCGAATACACCGAATCGAATTGCTCGCTGCTGATCAACGCCATACACGCCGTCGACAGATCGCAGCGATTCCTGCCCTACCACAACATCATGAAGCTGCTCAAGGACTTCGAATCCGCCGACACCGAGCTGCTCATCTACGCCATGACGTTGATCAATAAACTCCTGGCCGGCGTGACCGACCAAGACGCCTACTACGATCAGAGCGACGCGCTCGAGGAGCAAGGACTCGAGAACGTCATCCAGCGGTACATGTCGAAGCCGGGCACCGATCTGGATCTGTTGCAGCAGTTCCAAATCTACGAGGCGGTGCTGCAGTACGAGGACGGCGACGAGGCGGTGATATCGATGAGACACCTCGACGAGAACGTCAGGAAGACCATCAGGCACCGGAAATCCGGCGAGGCGGGCGACAGGCGGAAGAGCAGGCGGCACTCCACCGGCAACACGCCGTCGCATCCCGGCACGTTGAGGAACAGCTTCAAAGCGAATCTGATACTGCAGGACGAAGACGACGAATCGTCCAGTTCCCAATCGTCGGGCATCAACAACTCCCAACTCAACGGCGGCTACAAGGATAGCAACAAAGGTAACGCGCGTGGTGATTCCGCTTCGTTTTTCGTCTAATTTTGTGCTTTGCTTAGCGTTTGAAGCTGGCGTAACGCCCGCTTTAAAAAGGCGAAGGGAGCGCGCCGAGCGACAACGCAGCTTTCTAAAGGAGCAGGAATCCGTTGGATTCTTCAGGAATTGCTTGTTGCACGAGGCCAAACACGAAAACGAGAACGGTAGGTGCTTTTGTGCTATGTCAAGCCGTCAATTCCACTTTCTTATTTTACCAAAACTAACCGAACTCGTTTCGTAGGTAACTATCCGTTTCTGCAAAGGAAGCTAACGAACGAGAACGGAGTGCTGCGCACCACCAGCCGCAAAGACCTCACGCCTCTGATGAACGCCGTCAACAAACTGGATTCCGAAGAAAAACAACAACAACAGCAGCAGCAACAACAACAACCGTGGATGTACTCGATCATCCAGAACCAGGAGAACGTCGATGAGCAGAAGCTGGCGAACAACGACAACGAACGCAACGTGTTGCTGCAGCTGCAGCGCGAGAACACCGTCAAGGACATCACGCAGAAGCTGGCCAACCAGAACATCGTCCACGGCCCGCCCGACGACGGCAAGATCAGCCGCATCGGCGACATGTCCGGCCTGATATCGAAGGCCAAGGAGGGCCTGGCCAAGTCCAAGTCGAAGGCGGACGTGCTGAAGGGTCCGACCAACGAAACCGTACCAAAGATGGAGGCGAAGAAGTCCGAGAACGAGATCCGATGGGAGGAGCTGCGGGCGAACCTGAACCGCTCGCTGAATTTGTGTGATATGGATTTTACCGATTTAGGCAGCGACGACGAGGTCGATATATTGGCGCCGGTCGCCGTCGCCAACGGGATACCGCCTCCGCCACCGCCGCTCGCCGATTTGGAGTGCGGCGCGCCGCCACCGCCGCCGCCCGTCAGCAGGATAGTTCCGCCGCCGGCGGCGCCGCTGCCGCCGCTTTTCGCTTTGCAACGACCGAACAGGACCGCTGAAACGAAGATACCGATCAAGAAGAGCAAGAAGACTGTGAAGCTGTTTTGGAAGGAAGTCAGGGACGATCCGATCAGCCATGTTAAGTTGAAAACCGGTTTGATCTGGGACGAACTGCATCCCGTCAACGTCGACACGCAGAAATTGGAGCATCTCTTCGAATCCAGAGCTAAAGATCTCATTACCAAAGTAAGTAAACACGTATACATTCGAAACGATTTCTTCGTCTACAAACTGTTCTGGGAGAAGATTGAAATAAGGTCGATTTACTTGGTTTATTTTAAATAATTTTTCTTTTCTTGCGGTGACTTCACTTGGCATGCGCTGGTAAATAGGAGGTGAGTTATTTCCAATTCTTGGTGACGGAACAATCTTTTTTTGCATCTTGGCAACTCTTTCAGTTAGTTAGTGACTCTGGTAGATTCGCCTCACTATCTTCCTCTATCTACCCTCGTTGGTCTTAAATACCCACTATTACTTCGATCCGAGTAGAAGAAAACCTACGCATGTTATTGCAACATACAGCATGGTTCTCCTTAAATGTTTATCCTTCCTTTAATTTCTGTAGCATGGTACTATTTAGCAATGTTGCAAGGATCTTTGGAAGGTTACTATAGAAGCTATACCACTTACGTTTCCTTCGGCGTTCATCCGAACCGACCTCAATAATACATAAACTTTCAGAAGCAGCAAGAAATGAACAAAAACAAAGAAATAATAGTACTGGACCCGAAGCGTTCGAACGCCATCAACATCGGCATGACCAAATTGCCGCCGCCTCGCTCCATCAAAACGGCCATACTGAAAATGGACGCGACCATAATGAACCGAGAGGGCATCGAGAAGCTGCTGACCATGCTGCCCACCGAAGAGGAGCGCAGCAAGATCCAGGAGGCGCAGGCCGCCAACCCGGACATCCCGCTGGGCAGCGCCGAGCAATTCCTCCTGACGCTGGCCTCGATTTCGGAGCTGCCGGCCAGGCTGAAGCTGTGGGCGTTCAAGCTCGACTTCGAGAACTCCGAGCGCGAGATCGCCGAGCCTCTGATGGACCTCAAGCAGGGATACGAGGTGCTGCGCGCCAACAAAACGTTCAGGGGGATCCTCAGCACGCTGCTGTCGGTGGGCAACTTCCTCAACGGCAACGAGGTGAAGGGATTCCAAATCGAGTACCTGGCCAAAGTGCCCGAAGTCAAAGATACTGTTCACAAGCATTCGTTGTTGCATCACCTTTGCCATATCGTCATGGAGAAGTTTCCTGACGCTACCGATTTGTATTCAGAGGTGAGTTGGTTCGACGGTGATCAAATTTGGTAGGTAATCTCTGTGGTGTTGTGTTTAGATTGGGGCGATAACACGAGCTTCTAAAATAGACTTTGACGAGCTGGCCCTTAACATCCAAAGACTGGAATCCGATTGCAAGTCGTCGTGGGATCATTTGAAAGTTATCGCCAAGCATGATGGTTCGACGATGATGAAAGTGAAAATGTCCGATTTCCTATCGGATTGCGCCGAGAGAATCATACTCCTGGGCATCGTCCACAGGAGGGTTATCAACAGGTAAGCCTTCGGTGTACGTTTGTACCAAATTCGGCTTAAACTATCTCGTTTTAGGTTTCACAAATTCCTGCTGTGGCTGGGCATACCGTTGCACCAAATAGCCGACACGAAACCGAACGAATTCTGCCGAGTCGTCTCGGAGTTCGCCTTGGAGTACAGGACGACCAGAGAGCGAGTCCTGCAGCAGCTCGAGAAGAAGGCCAACCACCGCGAAAGGAACAAGACCAGAGGCAAAATGATCACCGAAGTAAACAGCCCGCTCTTATTCCGAATACGAAATTCTAACGAGACGTCTTGCAGGTGGGGAAATTCAGATCGAAGGAGGATCGAGCCGACGCCGAGCTGCGCCAGCTGCTGGGCAGCGACATGTCCGACGTGGAGAGCCTGCAGGGCACGTTGCCCTGGCGGAGGACGCGTCGCGAGAGCACCAGGTCCTTCCTGAGCCCCGGCAACGGCAACCTCACCGACGGCGACGACGAGCTGCTCGAGAGCTTGGTGAAGAACGCCACCAAGGGCCCCACGACCAGGACCGCGCCCAGGGAGAGGAAACGCACCAGGCACGTTGATAGGAAATCTCGTAAGTCTATTCAACTTTCTAAAATGGGATGATTTGTTACTAGAGGGAAATATTCGGTTCTGGGGGAAGTTTTGTTTCCTAGATGTTGGTTCCTGGATATATTGGAACATGGGGGTAATATTAGATCCTAGGCAGAAATTATTGGCTAGACCAGGGGTTTTGTTGATTTGTTTTTTGTTTCTTTAGTCAAGCGTTCTAGAACTAGAGAAAATATGCCGTTCGGTAGCAGAGATTCACCGTGATTTTAGATGTTTCTTTGGTATGTGGTGGTGGGATGTGATGCGTGTTAATTAGTTTGCATTAATAGGTTTGTTACTAACACAGTGTTTCCAAAACTAGTTGTAAAGGTAGTGGGTATTGCCATTAATAGTGCATGAGAAGTTTAATTTAAATCCTTTGTGGAGTTTATCCTCTTACAACAAGCTTGGTGTCAACACCTTTAAATATTTCTTCAACAGTACGAACATGCTTACTAGAACATTTCTAACGAATTCCTGCAACAAAATGGTTTACAAAGTGTGCGTTAACATGAAATTGCCTAGCACGTTTTGCTGTAGCGAAAGACCTCTAATTTTTTCTTTATTTTTAGTTCGCAGAACTCTGAAAAACGGCTTATCGGAAGAGGAGAAGAAACACCTATCAGCGTACATCAAAGGGTATTAGAAAATTGTGCTGTGTCCAACCGAAGTTAACGAATAATTTATTTAACCACGTCCGATGAAAGGCATCTTGCGAAGATGCAACAAGAAATACTGACTTTATGTGATAATATTTATGGCTGCTCTCGCTCACCTCGTTGTTTTTAGTTTCTAATTTATTTATCTACCCGCGTATATTCGTTTTTTTTTCAATTAATTTATTATTATTTAAGGGTCGAGAATCAGCCGTAAGATTTTCTATTACATCTATGCGCCTGCCCGAAGCGGCTGAACTAGTCTTCAAATATCTCATTTTGGTCTTGTTCTCGTTTCGCTTAGGTCTTAGATTCATTTAAAACGGATCATCTCGACACGATTACTGGCTAATTAGCGTAAACGAACGATTTTTTTATATATAATTTTGATTTTCATTTTATCGCTGTGTTTTTCGTTTCATTTCGATTTAGGCTAATTGTTTGAAATAGTGTATAAATAAAGTTTTGTTAATATTGTTTTTAGTTGTGTAGGATTCTACTGCTAGTACCTAATGATCCTATAAAGTTTTCTGTAAGAAGAAGTTATTAAAGATTCATTGTTTCTGGTAAATGTTGGACAAAAGTTCCAAAGCTGAGCTTTACAAGAAGAATTGTATCTACATACATATTTAAAATATCGGGTTATAAAATTCGAGTTTCTTTAACAGATTTTATTTATAAAAACCACATTTTTCTTAAAATTCGTATAAAAACATCGATTCTTTCAACAAATACGAACAAGTAAAAAAAAAATCAATGCGATAACAAAGTCTGTGCACTTAAAAGAAAACCCTCAAATAAATTAGTCAACAACAATGAAGTAATAAAAAAAATTGCACCGCGAAACGCGCTTTCGATTCATCGTTTAAAAACCATGTATAAAAATACGAATACGGTAGAAAAAACGGATATCGCTCGGAATGACTGTTGTGTCTAATGACCCCCCCTAGAGCTCGTCGTGCTTCGGCCCCGAGAACTCGTCGTGCGATATAAACCCGTTCTTGTCCTTGTCCTCGTGGATGAAAATCTCCTCCACCAGCTTATCGTGCTCGGCCAGCATGTTCTTCATCTCGTCGCTGGGCACGTCCCCTTCGGCCGCCACCATCTGCTTCTTCAGGTACTCGCTCACCTGCAACGCACAGAGCTTTAGACCGTCCTCCTGGGATCAATCCAGTTAATGGTGACTCAATGACTGCGGGTGCAACACACGAGCAAAGCAATGAAAGTGCGGAAGGATGAGGTAAGTGAATTTGCTCTACCAGATTCCCCGGCGAGCCGGAGAATCTCGTTTAAAGTGTACCGAAAGCAATGAGCGCAAACTGGATTCGTGCACAACAAACAACGGTGGTCTCGCATTTACATAGCCTCTTACTTCTTCGCGGCTGAGCTGGTTGTCGCTGTCGTGGTCGATCTCCTTGAAGACGTTGGTCTGCGTTTGCTTGGCGTCGCCGATGTTGATCAGCTCGACTTCGAACACCAGCGTCGCCTTGCCGGGGATGACGTTGCCGGCGCCCTTGTCGCCGTAGCCCAGGTGGGGCGGGATCACCAGCTTGCGCTTCTCGCCCACGCACATGTCCACCAGACCTTGGTCCCAGCCCTTGATCACCTGGCCCACGCCCAGCTGGAACGAGAACGGCTGGTCGCGGTCCAAACTGCAAGAGAAACCGACCAGAATTAGTCTACATGTAGCAAGAGGAGACTATAAGATTTCCTTGCATGAATGATGGGGTAAGATGAGATGGGATGGAATTGGAGAAGGCGAAATATTATCTGAGTAAATCGCAGTAACTATCTTAATGTATACTAAAAGTTGTGATCGGTAAACGAGCAGAAACGAATCTTTGGAAAACTTGGCGCATCGGCAAGTTGTTGGAAAATGGGATATCCCGAGGGCGCGGCGCGGTTTTCCATGCATTTTTATAAACCCGGAGAATTTTCGAGTTTCCGTACCGTTAAAATTATAATCGTATCGTTCCCTCGATGGAGCAACCTCGAGCGGAAGTTTCCGAAATTAAGAAAATACTGTAACAGCCGACGATAAGGCTTTTCTTTAGGAAAAAAAAGGGCCCGTTTAATATTTAACTACGTCTCCCGTTGCGTAACGACGGTGCAGGGAATTGGGGACCTGGACAACTTTTCTAACGTCCGGAGACTCGATACAGTGGCATCGCATCAATAACCAAAATCGCAGGAGAAAATTTATATACAGGATCGATCCAAATAGTCCTGGATCGGTTCTATATGTTTTCAACAATTCTGAATGGATTCCAAACGTTCCTAAACTGTTTCAAATAGTCCTAGTTAATTCTAAAACGATTCTAAAACTCTCCTGAATACTCTTTTTCCCCCTCTTACTAATGGTCCTACTTGCACTCCTGTTATTTCTATTTCTGAATCATTTTGATTCTGCTCTAAACACCAATCAAATCAGGCGATAAAATTCCAACAGCAACAGGAATCGCGGGAATTTCCTGCGGGCGGCGCCGCTGCCGGCTCGCAAGTAACAAGACAAAGGCCTGAAATATTCAGAAACTCATGCATAACAAAAAACTTTCCGACGGTGCATCTGAAGTTTGCGCACTAAACGGACGAATTATTCTAATTGAAAACGATAATAAAAAAAGGCGACGTTAATGGTAACGATAATGACGAGCGAACGAGGAAAGTGAAATCGCGAGCGGCGAGGACGAAGACGTTCTTAATTTTAATTCCTGGAATACTTTCTATTTAATCCGCGACGCCAGTTCGTTTCGTTCGCGAACTGTTAGATTAAAAGGTTAAATGAGCAAGTAGAGGGTAAAAGAGGAATGAAGAGGCGTCGAGGTAATGAAGACGAAGTTAATAAGCAGTAAATCGTTCGATAGAATGCTGGAAAAAAATCAGAAAAACGAGTTGAATAATGCAAGCGCTATTTTCGCGTGAAATTCGCCCAAGACATTGCGAAAACGAGAACTGGCGTTGTCAAAACTTTCTTTTTAATTATTTATCGGCACGTCGTCCTCGATCCGAGGACTTCGATACAACGTTAATTGCCGACAGATATGATTTTTCCTCCGGCCGTTTTTTTATACCAACATTCGATCGGTTAATTTTTCCTCGTGGATAGTAAAACAGTATCGTTCGGAATCCTTTTCGTACGCCACCCATAAAGAAAACAATGAATATATTATGAGTTGACATCGGTCTACCGAGCCGTAAACTTTGCAATGATGACACGACGTCTAAATTATGCAAAAAAATATACCAAATTTTCGCAAAGAACGAGCTATAACTTACGCCAAACAAACGGAAAGGAGTCGAGAAAACCGAGCGTTGAATTTAACGCTGTAAAAAAAATTAATCGGCTCGAATTAGATGCAGACACCCGTCGCAGTTCCGTTATTAAACCGGTCGTTACTCGTTGAATTACGCCCGACTATCCACTATCAGATAGTAAATGTATATTCAGGTGTTGTGCAACTACTAAAACGTATATGATCCGCCGAAATTTATGTGTACACCGCTTGCGAATTGAATTTAAAATGAATCGTCTGCGAACGGTGTAATCTAAAAAATTTATATCGATATCCCAACGTTTCCACCCATCAATCCCCAGCTTCTCACTCTAGGATTATATTGAATATTCATGCTATTTAGATTTATAAATGAAGTGAGAATCATGAATACACTCAATTGGTTAATCACAGAGAGTCAAGTGTACTCCTAAGAGACTCGATTTCTGACGAAAATTGTTAAAAATTCTAACATAGATTAGATCCGGGTGGAAAATGGAAACGGTCACGGGTTGAAAAAAACATAGGGAAGGCATCCTGCGGGAGTCCTGCGAGTACGGTAGACAGTCTACGCGTTAAATATTTAAATTTACCGGTTCAGTTTTACACGTTCGCCTTCGTCGTGAATCATTGATGAAATTTCTTTCTATCGAGTTTGGTAATTTTTTAGTCGAACGTGTATTAAAATCGAGCGACTCTAAAGCCGCAAAGGCGACTGATTGCTGGAGAACGAATTGCACAAACAGAGTGAAAATAAATATTTGCTATAGCGAAGATTCAAATGGTATGTTTGTGCGAGTTTTATTGGCGTTTTCCTAATAGGAGACGTTCGAGAGACTTCATAAAGCACCGTTTCGTTTAACGACAGATAAATAAAGATAATTGAAACTTTCACCGGTTACCGTGAAAGTCGGAAACCCCCATCTATTTGTCCATTAAAAACGCGAATACAGTGAATTAAATATCCATAATAAGTTATTTAATTAGTCGGTCTACTAAGCAACAACTAGGTCGCACATTTCGTTCTAACAAAAATATTAATATGTATTCTCTGTTGGGTAATGTTTTATTGAGAACGCAAACTTTGAACTCGATTTTTAAGTAGTACAAAAAACAACCTTCATTATATTTAAAAAATTGTAGGTAAACTAATATTTTTAAAAGTGTTATTGCGACACGCTGTATAATTGGATATCCTGCAGATGGAACGAAACGAGGAAGAATAAACTAGCTGAAACGAAACGTTAGTTTTTACAATTTCATTACTTACAGGAATGCGTCTACAATTTTTATTGTGCGCTGCAATGTACGGTATCTGCATCAAAAGCAGCAGGAGCAGCAGGAGTAATTGTGTTCGTACATGTGCGTTATAAGGAAATTACATAATTTCTTTTGCTAATTCATTGTGTTTTTTCCTTCGCAAAACAAACACGTAATCATCTTCTGATTAACGAAAATCGGGGTCGTTAGCGCAGCTTTTCACGGAAAAATTACGCCGATGAAAAAACACGATAACATTAGAGAAAACAGAAAACAACAACAAAGAGAAAGGCTTGTGTTTGGCCGTTAAATCACGTCATAATTACGACATTGTTTGCTTACTCGAAATTCGTCTATACGACCTACGTGAAAATTATTCCAAAACAAAGATAATTATCTAATTATCTGAAAGAAAACAGATCAATTCGCCAGATCTCCCCGAAATCACGAACGGGAAAATCACATTACACGCTTTCCTCGCTCCGTTTACATCACGAGCGCAGAGATTACCCACCGAGGCGGTAGAAGAATCGCCCCAAACCACCAAACTACTCGAACTACCCCGATCTTCCTAAGCTCGCACGTTATCGCAACTTTCTAAATATTTCACAATAAACTTTCTAAATATTTCACAATAAACGCCGTCGTCGCGGGGGTTGTTTAACTCGTACACCTACCTGTTCGTTACACCCTCAAAAGTAGCTGAAACTTCGCCAATTAGCCAACTATTCAAAGTTTAAAACAACGATAAAGATTCGAAGGGAACTATTAGAAGGCGAGGTGATTAAATTTAAATTCCTGACGTGCCGAATTAGGGGCGAGATTACTCCGGGGTTGCTGCCCAATGTTTATTTTTAATTCAACAAAGAGTGTGTAGTTTCATGTAAATGAATTATAACTATAGAAGAGAGTCTTTTTAGCTTTAAAAAGTCGAATATACGCCCAAGAGAGTCAAGTGTACGCCCAAGAGAGTCAATTATACACTCAAGAGAGTCAAGTATACACCCAAGAGAGTCAAGTATGCATCCAAGAGTCCAGTATACGCCCAAGAGAGTCAACTGTATGCCCAATAGAGCCGATTATACACGTGTATTAGAATTTGTAAAGCGTTGTTAATGAAGGTTCTTTAAAAAATTCACAGCCGAAGGAATAATTCAGGTAAGCATCCTCTTAGCGCTTAAAAATAAAATCGAATTAATCGAGTTCTCGCCGTCTGCTCGGCGTAATTTTCGCGAGCAGAAAAAAACCGTCGAAGGAAAGTTGTAAATTCGGAGTCGCCTTCGAGCAATTTTCGCTCGTAAACTAACCGGAAAGGTTTCTTCGGGTTTCTAAAAGCAGGAACCGACCGCTTTACGTTTATTGGCCGAACGGTAAATTATAAATCGAGGATGGAGTTTCGGGGGAGAAAAAAAAAGCGCGCGCGTAAGAAGGAAAGTAGGAGCACCTTGCTATACCCGGGTAATAAAATTTGCAGCCGAGAGCGGAGTAAGAAGTTGTTCGCAGACACTGACATGAATTTTGGAAACGCCAGACGGGTGCAACGTGTGCAACGCGGGATGTTCGAGGAAATTCTTTTCAACCCTCCGCGAGTAACGGGGATAACTGGAAGATGCGACAAAATGATTGCAGGTGTTATGTAACTAATAAAATTACGGAGCATCTCTCTATGTGCTGGTGTAAATTGTTAATTTTTGGATGGAAGTTTTGCTTGAATTGGATCTATGAGTATTAAACTCGGATGGGATTAAAGTGTGCATTGAGTGTCTTTTTTCTCCGATTAAATTCCTGCGAGAGCCGGATATGGCGAATTTAACGGGAAAAATATATAATAATAAACAGGAATCAGGATGAAATGAGAGACGGATTGATAGCGCCTGAGAGGCTATTTTATTCGTATCGACAGCGCTAATGGCTCCATTCAAGCCCGTTTTTTCCGTTCTATTTTTATTTCCCCGTCCGTATAATAGTTCGAATTAAAACCGACGGGGATTTTCGAGCTTTAAAAGCGCCGAAATTATTGGCAGTCGATTGATTTAATTGAAATTGACGAGCCGGCAGAGCGTTCTACATTGTCTTCGGCTGCGGAAAAGCGCTCGAAAATTCCTCTAATAAAATAAACG